GGACTTCAACTCCCAGAATTCCTGAGCCAGCCATGCTGGCTCAGGAATTCTGGGAGTTGAAGTCCACGAGTCATAAAAGAGCCAAGGTTGACTACCCCTGCTCTAAAGGATGCAAATGACCAGTTGTCTGCAAGGAATACAAATCCTTCCATTCCCCACCATCCAGTCAGAACTGAAGAAGCTTCTTGGATGAGAAGCAAAACATCTTCAAAGGAAAAACGAAGTCCAGTTGCCTCTTGAAAAAGCACTTTTGGGACTACCACAATAAGACATACAGTAATCAATTTGAAGGAGGAGGAAGAAGCATAGCTGGGTATCCTTTTATAAATATGGAAGGCAGAAGACAGAAGGCGAGAAAAGGGCAAATACATATTAGGTATACTGACAACCTCAGTAGCTATTTTTTTTATTTTAAAATCTGTGCTGTAGTCATGAAAACGTGCCACGTAAAGCATTTAGTATGCTAGGACTTGATGAACAGAGATGAGATGTATATCTGCATCCACTAAATGTTTTAAAGTACTAGTTATATGAGTTGGAATTAACACTTAATGAAAATGGCATCCACTTCGTATACACCCTAATCCAGGAGTAGGCAATCTTGGCTCTTTTATGAACTTCAACTCCCAGAATTCCTGAGCCAGTATGGCTCAGCTTGGAAACCTCTCCCTTTCCCCTCAGCGTGGCTGGTTCAGGAATTCTGGGAGTTGAAGTCCACGAGTCATAAAAGAGCCAAGGTTGCCTACCCCTGCCCTAACCCTATCCCCACAAACTATGGCTAGTCTATCAAAGCTTCTCATTCCTCTTTATGCAAGGGCCTACCTCCTGTGGATTGTAAGCACTGCTGTAGATACACTAACATCACTTTGATATTTCCAGGACCGTTTATGTACCCCTTTCCTCCAAGGTTTGAAAACTAAAGTCCCCATTACAGATTCATTTCAATAGGTTCACTTTATCCTAAATTCTTCACGGGCTCTAAATCTATTGAAAAACAGCAACCTCTTCTGGTCACACCAGAAAAAAAAGCATTAATAAATTTAATAAAAATAAATTTAATACACATTTTAATAAAGATACCGCTTGGTAGAAGAAAGGCAGTGGAACTTTGGAAGTTTTGGATAAAATGGTAGATGTGGAAAGATGCTTTTCTGTCACGCTACTTGTTATGCAATAAAGGTTGTGTCTGCTTGTGACAAGGCAAGCACGTATCCCAGATGCAAGAATTTTTTTAATTACATGCTCATGCATGTATGGCTACAAAATGTACGGGGGGAAAAATCTTACTCCAAGAGTAAATTAGGAACTATAAAAGAATATGACAATTATAACATTTTCATTAAAAATTTATAAACAGGTTTGCTGATTTACTTTCACCGAAAATACATGGCCTTTTTCCATGTCAGAACATTTGTCAGGATTTGGCAACTCTGGGCTAACCTGACATGCAAGATGATCAAAATGGATTATGTAATCTTTTCCATTTATTTCTATTGATTTTAATCATGATAAAATTCATCAGGGTGGGCTGGGAACGTGGCACCTGAGGAGAGGTGGTTAAATGAAAAATTTAAAAAAATTAAAAAGTCTAACCAGGAGACAATCCGTCATTTGCTTATTATCCGGAGGAGGAGGAGGAGGAGAAGTGTGGAATGTTGTAGTAGCAACAAAACATGACAATGACAATATCCGTTATTAATACTGCATGACAGGCTTCTCTTTAATTTGTCCTTCTAGATATAAAGTTAAGGTCAAGAATTTATATCATTTCTTAAAAACTGAGATTTAAGAGATTGTTTTAAACTTTTTTAAATCACAAGCAAAGAAAAGAAATCAAGGAAAAAAGAAGGTAGCTGGGGGTGGGGTTTCCGAGCTAATCAACTTTATTTCCGTAACTGCCACTAACATCAAAATGCCAACGAGTGGACCATTTTAATCAGTTTTATTGATTCATGCTTTCAGATCTTATTCAGTTAAAAACAAGGCACATTAAATACATCCTCTTATTGCTCTATAAATGCATGCAGCTCATTCTGTATATCAAAAGTAATAAATAATGGCAATAAAACACCAAGACAGTTATAAAAATGACAATCCAGCCTCAAACACAGTATTTAGCAGTCCAATCCTGAACAATAACCCAGCACAATACATAAAAGTGCCAGATGGAAAAACATGCGGTATATGTATATGTATACATATGCATATATGCATAGATAAATGTGTGCTTACCTATTCATACCCACACACAACCACTACAGAACGCCCTGCTCCTGTATTTCTTTGTTTTCAAAACAATTGTACAGTAGTATCACACCAAATTACTGTTATACAAAAAGGAGCTTTGTGCTTCCTATACATTCATGTATCTTCCCTTCCAAATATACAAAGAAATACTATCACAGAGAAACCAAGTAATTCCGAGAGTCTACTTTTAACTGAAGTGAGCAACTGTATAAAATGATGTAGGGGAATAATATTTTCCCTTCCCATAGGAAGCAGAGGGGTGTGTTGGCTAAAACATTTCCTAGAGTTCAACTAGTTTTATGCAGGCAATGCATAAAAGAAATCATGGCTTCTTGATCATGGTGTAATGGCATCAATAGGAAAACACGACAGACCCTGTTAAGAGACCTTTGCTGGGCTAAGGACAAACATTAGACATTACTCCAACGTCTGGTTATCAGAGAAGTCTATTTGTAAAGGTGTGCACTCAAATGCTCATTAAAACTCTTTGCTAAGAACTGTGGTAGATACTGTGACCAGTAAGAGTTTTCTCCTTAATACAGGGGTGTCAAACTCGCCATGTCACGTGACGTATTTTTCCCCATTGCCAGAGCTGGGGTGGGCGTAGTTTCAGCATGACGCATGCGGCCCATGGGCCGGCAGTTTGACACCCCTGCCTTAGTATATATCAGCCCTATGATCCTCAGCCTCACTACATTTTGGGTGCTTGCTTAACTCTTAATGCTTCACATGGACAAGATGCACTTGGATCCATATATCTGCCATTAATCTTTTGCCTCAAACACTGAAAAATGTTGCATCCTTTATTAATTAAATGTGTAATGCCCGGCATCGCAACTGTTTCTCTGGACCTCTCCACACTTCAGCAATCTTAGAAGAGTTATTTATAATAGCTTTTTGTTAAGGTTTGACATTTTTTGGTCAAAGCAAAATGGAACGAGCTGAAAAGTGCTATGTAAAAATCATCCAATATACGTTGGTGATGGGAAGTAGGGGAGGAGGAGAAAGATCTACTACAAAGATACCCCAACTCTTTGTGCTCAAAGAGAGATCTCCTACTGTCAAATGCAGGCCCAGTTTAGGCCTGTATTCCAAGTCATTCTGAAGTGCTCCAGGCCTAAAGAGGATGAGATTCTTGCCTTGGTTTCCATCTCTACTCTTAACCTATAAAACACAGGGTTGACATTTCTTGATCATAGCGGTAACTTACATGGGAAATGGTCTGCAGAGAATTTTGCTAGAGGGCATTTTAGAATGCTACCTTTTAATATCCTTTATGAAGACCTTGCTCCTTTCCTTCAATGCTGTCTAAATTTCCAAATAGAAAATAGGAGTGCTTCATGCTAATGGCTGGGCTAGGCTGGACTGGGCTGGGCAATGTCTACTTCTAGCAAGAGATGCCCTTAATATATTCAAATTTTGAATATAGAGTAAAACTGAATTTTAACTTCATTTTTATAAAGGGCCCTTTCCTATAGATTGCTCTGAAGAGTGAAGAAATGCACAGCACTGAAACACTAATATAAGTAAATGACAGAATTTGGGTCTGCAAGTTTAAGTACTACAACTCTTACGGATCTATAAATTGCATTGGAATATTATTATTAAAACCTGTAACAAACAACAAATGAGCAAGGCCATCGGAGGTACAAAGACAAAATTTCCACGGTAACATGACTTTGTTCCTTTTAGGTTTGTACTTTGCTGTAATTTTATTTTCTAAATAGCAAAAGGCACACCTTTTACTGATTTTGCTATTAATTTATCGTTGTAATCTGGAAGCATTTTTTTTACCTAAATTCATTTTAAATAATATGTAAAAGTATTTTTTTTTAGAAAATAGCCTAAATGAAAAAAAAAAATGAAAAAAAAAAATGAAAAAAAAAATAAAAAAATAAATAGTCTAAAACTGAACCAGCAATCCTAGCAAGAAGGTAATGTAATCTTGCCTAATATTTCTTCACTATTTTTCTGAGGAGTTAATGGGGCACCTACCACAAATAAAATAAGATTTCAGAAACCTTTTTTTTATGAAAATTTCAGAGCAAATCAAAACCACCCACATGATACAGGATTTAGCTCTCTCTCTTTTTTTTTTATACACAAAATGTACCAGGGAAGGAATGGCAATTTCTTTCTCCTGTAAAGTAAAAAAGCACCATTTGATATGTTTATTTTCTATTTTATGCTGGCTTTTTGGGTTTAGGACACTTTTGAAGAATTAGGCCCTGCATGTCCTCTTATTAAAATACAATTGTTATCACTGCAATTCCTTGGTTTGGACATTATACTTCTATTTAGGGATACAGTCTATGAAAATTCTAAATGCAAGCACTCTCCTCCATGATAAATCACTCATTTTTATGGCATGCGCTTTTTAATAGACTGTGGCCATTATAAAAAATGTTTGTACCAAAGTTCTAGGCAAGCGATGAATATTTAGCACAATGTACTTCTCTGAAAGGATGGGGAGGGGAAAAAAAGTATCTGGACATTTAACAAAAAACAAAAGTCCATTTTTAAGATACTAAAGGCATGCTGGCATCGTCCACTTTTGCCTGGTTAATGCATCAAAAGGCAGAAAGGGAATGGGACCCTATTAACGTAGAAGAGGAATTATTTTTGCTTTTGTATAAATGCAACAAAAAAGAAATCTACAATCATGTCTGGTTATCACATGGATCCCTTGCCATGGTTTGAGTGTTCATCTCCCAGGATTAGCCCAGGGGGAGAAAAAAAGATGGACTGTTTCTTCTTTTCATAGTCTTGTTTGCCATGGATGCTAGAGAAAGCCAGTTCAACAGGCCACCAGTCAAGTAGACTCTTCACACAAATGTAAAAAGGAGAGCTGTACAATGTGACTTTCTGCACACAGTCGGTCAGAGTGAGGAGAAGCAGAAACATCTGAAAGCAGTGGAATGTTTTTCAGCATTGAAAGAGGCAACCAGGGGGCGCACCTTTTTATAGCTGTAAGCCCCTCCACCTCCCAACTCACAGTCCACCACAACTCCGGTCCACTGAAATCACTTCCCGCTGATGAATGTTTTCTTCAGCTGCTTTCATAAGTACGGCAAGCCGGCTTCCAGACACGTATCCTTTCTGAATAGCTGTCATGAGCTAAAGAGGCAAGATAGAGAAAGCTTTAAGATCAATACTCTGTGTCACTGCATTATTAGATGATGCCTTCATCTCCACATCCCTGCTTAAAAGCCTTGTCTTATAACAGTGATGGCGAACCTTTTAGAGACCGAGTGCCCAAAAACTGGCCCCGCCCCCATTCCACCCCGCCTTGCCCCCGCCCACCCCCCCATCCCCCACCCCGCCTGACTGCAGGGCCACTCACCGCCTCCAGGGCCTGCTGCAGATCGCCCAGGCAGCCCAGCAGCGCTATGGCGGCCGCGCCCTCTGCCTGCGCCCTGCAGCATCAACTGTGCATGATGGGGTGTGAGGGCAGAGTCTTGTCTACACTTCCTGGCTGCCATGTCCTTGGCTGCGCTGCTCCATGTGGGCCACGCTCGGGGGCGACTCTCCTTCAGGGGGGCTGCTGGAGGGGGTCGCGGGGGGAGGCAAGGCTGGGGCAACGGCTCGTGTGCCCACAGAGAGGGCTCCGAGTGCCGCCTCTGACACCCGTGCCATAGGTTCGCCACCACTGTCTTATAATTTGTCATATCTCTACCAACTTGATTTTGTCCAGTTTTCCTAATTTTTTTCAACATTATATATGCCCCAATGACTTCAGAACTGCCATACTTCCTGGAAATAAAAGATTGCAAAAGGAAGACCAAGATACAGCTTACCTGTTTGCCAGAAACAGAGCAAAAAGAGACGTGCTTTTTTGTACCCTCCCAACAAAAAAGTAACTACCCTATCATATAGAATCAGTCTCCGTATTCATTTTTATTTCCCATTTCCCCCATCAAACCCTGTATTCCTTTTGGGCTGTTAACTTCTGTTTTGCAAACCAAAAGGTAGGGACTGATATGTAAACCATTCTGACATACATTTTTTTTCTCTTCTCCCGAACAACAGAATAAAAATGGTTTCAACTACAACATCAGAAGCAGCAACATAAATACATCTTTTTAAGGAAAGACAGTTCCGTGGAAATAAGACAGCAGGATAAACAGTTTTCACTTCTTACACCAGCCTTCCCTTATCTGGGGCGCTTCCAGATGGATGGGCCAATTCCCAGAATTCCCAGCCAACATGGCCTCTGCCGAGAATCCTAGAAGTTGGTGGCCATGTATTTGGAGGGCTCTCTTACATTACAGCCAATTCAAATAAGCTCCCTCTTAAACAAATATGGCACTCTTTCCAGCATCATACTCTCCCTAAGGAATTTGAGGAGAAGAAAGCTAACAGATTGGAGAGCAAGCCTGGAGAAGGTTGAAACGTGGCCATGAAATGAGACTACTGCTCTTAAAAATATTTAAAAGTAAATTCTATAGCTTTGGAGCTATAAAAAGAGATGCGCGTACAATTAGGTGAGGTTTTTTTAAAAATAATTGGCATGATTTAAATCATACAGCAGATTTTTCAACTGCTCTAAAAAATGTTCAGAGAACAGGCTGCTTTCTTTCTTTCTTTCTTTTCTTTCTTTTTCTTTCTCTCTCATTCCTTCCTTTCTTCCACATTTCTGCATTTAGATTCAATGGTGCTTTTATCTGCAGCCCATCTTGAGAGAGACAATTACCATTTTCCTTTGCCTTGATCTTGTTTGTTTAACGTGACATGCAGTGAAGAAAGGGCTGACATGGACCGAAATCCCCAGCATTAATTTATCTCATGTTCTGCATTCATCATTGCCACGGCGCAGGAAGGACCTGGCAGTCAATTGAAAAACCTGACCAAGAAAGGCTCTGCAAAAATAAACCTGGCGAACAACTGAAAACAAATAAGCAGCTGCTTGCATAAAAGGAGTCAAAGGGACACTTGGAAACATTTTGCAAGTCTCTCTACAGCCCTCAAATGTGTATCATGCCACATAGGAGTTTTGGGGGAAAAAACAGGCATGTGCTCTTTTGTTCTACTTCACACTAAATCATCCCCTCTGATTCACAGAATAATGGAACAGTTTATAGGACAAATGGTACCGAATAGTTCAATTCCAACGTCATCACAAAAGCAGGATAGTTTAGCAATAAAAATCTACTGCAAGCTCCTGCTGATGCCTCTTTCTTCCCTATCCTGCGAACTGACTTCCTGTCTGTTCATTTGCCAATCTTCTCTCCCTTTCCTGGCTTTTGACAACCACAGATCACCACATCAAGAACTGGGGATCCCTAGGATTGGCTGTATTTTTGCCTTTGGTGTGGCGTAAAAAACCTATTTCAACCAACGAAGATCTTAGCAAATGGACCGATTTATAATGAAAGACGTGGTCCTTCATATAGTCGGTCTCCAATCTACTCAAGGTTGTAGACGTCAATCCAAATATCTCACGTAGCGACCAATAAGCAAGTGGAAGCTAATGCAGATCTTTCAATGCAGACATGGAATCATGGCTGTGTTTTATACTATCTAGTAACTTAGTTGCTGCATTGCTGCCTTTTCTGAAATAAACAAATAAAATCTTGCACCAATTGTAGCTTTCCTACATTTTTCAGATGTAGTACTATGTAGGGCATATTCTAATATTGAGGAGATGTAACCAAGGTGTAGATAATTGTCACCAAATCAACCAGGAAGGGACCCTCGACATCACAGTGTAAAGGTGTTGAAGGCAATTTGTTGCTAGCAACAAATTCAATGGATGAAGATCAAGAAGCACTCTCAGACTGCAATGCTGCTCCTTCAATGCGAACCAAAATTTAAATTCTTGATTTAAAAAACAAAACCAAAAAACATTAAGCCTCAACAGTTACACTTACACACAACTTTTACACTCTTTCAAATTCTACCACGGTAAAGAACGCGATCACATTTTTTGTTTATTGGCAAGAAACAGCCAAGTCAAAAGAGGAAAGTGGTAGAGTTCAACATTAGTGGAACTTAGTTTGTTTTATTTTGCTGCGTATGAATGAGTAAATACATGCCCTCGATAGTGAAAATAATACGGTTCTGCCTTCGTCTTTTTTTTTATAAAAAGGAGGTATTAGCAAATAGGTGCACAAGAAAGAGAGAAAGACAAAAGCTAGAAGACAACAGGTGTAATTCCCAAGGTTCAAATATCCAACTTCAGGAGCAAACTGAGCAAACAAACGATCAAGGCCCATGTTGGAATGGCAAAAGGATTAAAATACTAAAGAAGAAACATGCAGTGAAGTGAACATTACTTGAGAAATACCGGAGCCCAACCAATTCCCAACACACACCCCAAATGCTTCACACTCCCTGATATAAGAGGTATTTATTCATTTTTATCCCCCCTTATTACTTTTTTACCAATAACTCAAGGTAGCGAACATATTCAACACACCTTCCTTATCCTATTTTCCCACAGTAACAAACCTATGAGGTAGATTGGGCTGAGAATGAGTGACTAACCCAAAGTCACCCAGTCAGCTTTTATATCTAAAGCGGGACCAGACATATTATTATATTATACAGTACACTATACTATCTCATTTAATAACAGAATAACAGAGTTGGAAGACATATTGGAAGTCTTCTAGTCCAACTCCCTGCTCAAGCAGCAAACCCTATACCATTTCAGACAAATGGTTGTCCAATCTCTTATTTAAAATCTCCAATGTTGGAGAACCCACAACTTCTGGAGGCAAATCGTTCAACTGATTAATTGTTCTGTCAGGAAATTTCTTCTTAGTTCCAGGTTGCTTCTCTCCTTGATTAGTTTTCATCCACTGCTTCTTGTCCTGCCTTCAGGATGAGAGAGAATAGCTTGACTCCCTCTTCTATGTGGCAGCCCCTGAGATATTGGAACACTGCTATCATGTCCCCCCTCGTCCTTCTCTTCGTTAAACTAGACATACCCAATTCCAGCAGCCGTTCCTTATATGTTTTAGCCTCCAGTCCCCTAATCTCTTTGTTGCTCTTCTCTGTACTCTTTCAAGAGTTTCAACATCATTTTTATATCTTGGCAACCAAAACTGGATGCAGTATTCCAAATTTTGTATTTTATATATCATTAGAGGTTAAGGGGAGGGACATATACAGCAATTTAAGCAGCTGTGCTTAGAGAGAATACAATGCATGACAATGAGTCGGGCTAAACCAAGAGCCAAACAGCAACAACAATGCAAAACTTATTTTTTACCACAAGAAGAAAGTCTTGTTTCTTCAACAGAGGACATTGTTGGCTCTAGAAGGGTAAATTTCCCTCCAACTTGCATTTTAATGGTTTACAGACTTATTTTTAAAAACTTCTCAGCAAAATGATGAACTGAAGGTTTCTCAGAGGAAAATGTAAATTATTGTTCCTATTGCTAATGATCCCACTTGTGGGTTATCACTCCAATTCAGGACAGAACTTCAATATAGGCGATAATTATTTAGATACACTCTGTTTGGAGAACTCTCCAATTGTACGGTTATAGCAAGCTTTGCCAAGTTTTTGGTACCATCTGGAGACTCATTTCTATTCCTAGAACTTAGAGGTGAATTTATGCTGCTGTGCCTCTTTTCTTGTTTTTACAGGTTTTTTTTAACTGCTACTTTTTAGGAGGGCTTATTGTTTTATAACCCATTTTAACAGGTGATAAATTTAAAAATAGTAGTGAAAAACACTGACAAAAAAAAGAACCCTGGTTGAGCAGAAAAGGAAGGTGAAAACGGATTGTTACTTTTTTTTTTTTTTTTAAAGGCAGAAATTGCTGGAGCAATTCAAAATTTAAAGTGTTGATTAATATATATTCAGAAACCAAAAATGCAACATTTTGCCCAACGCCGTACTAGCACTAGGTACAACTGTACTGTAGAAAAGTTCCCCAAACTGGGTGTTAACTACTGAAAGTTCCTATCCTGAATAGCAACACTATGAGTAATAGCCACAAGTGGGATCAGGAGCAACTGATTCTATGCTTTCCTCTGACTGGACAATTACTGCTTATAAGGAATCGTTTAAAGATTCCAAGTAACAAGGTAAAGGTCAGATTTTAATAAAGTCTGACAAAATAATAAAAGTCAAGAACCCGAAAGCCTTCCTGCTTTACTTTTTCCAGACGATGACCTGAAATCATTTCACCACTTTTATTTTGGTATTTGGGGCAATTCTCCCTCTTTCATACTTCTATAATACTGTGCAGCTACTGCAGAGACCACACACCATAAATCAGCCCAGATTAAACATATGAGCCTCTTTCCTACCTGTCCAAAATAGCTTCATATCTGGTATACATGCAAGTTAACAGAGCTAACAGGGGATGCAGCATAAAAGGTGTAGGTTTAAGAAGAGACTGGACAACCACTTGTCTGAAATGGTATAGGGCAGGGGTAGGCAACCTTGGCTCTTTTATGACTCATGGACTTCAACTCCCAGAATTCCTGAGCCAGCACGGCTCAGCTTGGAAACCTCTCCCTTTCCCCTCAGCATGGCTGGCTCAGGAATTCTGGGAGTTGAAGTCCACGAGTCATAACAGAGCAAAGATTGCCTACCTCTGGTATAGAGTTTCCTGCCTGAGCAGGGGGTTGGACTAGAAGTCCTCAAAGGTCCCTTCCAACTCTATTATTGTATTGTTATTTAATATGCATACATTCGATGTGTGTTATGTTTTAGTGACAGAAGGTAATTCATTTGACTGATTGATTTCCTCTAACTGAATCAAAGAAATACTTTCCATTTTGCATCAACTAAGGGGTGGCTTCCATTTCTGACTAATATCTGCCAGAAATTAATGTCTGTACACTTTCCCTTCCAATATTAATGAACTGAACATTATGAGTATTGCGAGGTTTTTTTTATACCATTATATTAGATTGATAGAGATATACGTGTGTAAATTAAAAGAAGTACTCACTTGCAAAAACTCGTTGAGTTCAACCTGCCCATTTTTGTTCAGATCCACTTCATTCAAAATCTCATGGAGTGCACTTTCATTAATTTGAAGGTTGATGCTCTGTAAAATATATGAAAGGGAGAAAAAAACCTCACATGGCTGGATTAAAAACACACTATTAATATCATGCCAGGCAATTCCGATGAATTAAAAAAGAAGAAGAATGAAGTGAAATGTTACCTCTAGCACACGCTGCACATCCAATATAGTAATAAAACCTTTGCATTCTTTATCAAACATGTGGAATCTTTTTTTGTACCTGCAACACAGATAATGCATGAAAAAGCTATACCTTGACATACTGCACAAGCAATTTTAAACCAGCAAAGAAAAACCTCACTTAGACATATAAAGGATTTTCAACTGGCTTGATCAATGCGCACCTCCACTCCCTCAAACTTTCCTTCTTATAATGCTATTACTTTCCACTGCAGAAGCCAAAGAGATGCTATATTCCACGGGTCTTCGAACTTGGCCCTTTTATGACTTGTGGACTTCAACTCCCAGAATTCCTCAGCCAGGCATGCTGGCTGAGGAATTCTGAGACTTGAAGTCCACAAGTCATAAAAGGGCCAAGTTTGAAGACCCCCCTGCTATATTCCTATAGAAAACATGCTTCCACACCCACGGACAGCCAAATCCAATCTTGGCATGGACAAATTAAACAAATCAAAAGTGAAGGGTGAGGAAAATCTTTTGCCTATAGCCTTTCAGGTGTGACTCACTTAACAACTGCCTTGCTTAGCAACAGAAATTTTAGCGCCAGGCTTTAAAACTGGGAGACCGTGAGTTCCAATCCCGCCTTAGCCATGAAAGGCATCTGAGTGACCTTGGGCCTGTCTCTCTCTTTCTCTCTCTCTCAGTCCAATCCACCTCACAGGGTCGTTGTGGGGAAGAGAGGAGAAGGAAGGTAAATGTTCGCTGCCTTGAGTTATTTGCAAAAAAAATAAAGCAGGGATACAAAGAAATAAAAAAATGGCTTAATGGCCTCTACCTTTTTTTGACCCAGGGTGAAAATAGAATTATGTATGAATTTCTCAGAGAGGCAATAATACCATTCAAATATACCAGAGGGGGGGGGGGAAGGGATCAGGACATGGGCAAATACATAAATCAAGCACAACTCAGCTTCCAGGGCCGAAGATCCCCTTTTCAGATACCTCATATGATACATCCAAATCCCTGGAAACTAAGTAGTAGTTATTTGCCCTGTGTTAAGTTACCTGTCAATATCTCCTGGGGATAAAGTGATTTCACTCCGATCTGTCAGTTGCTCCGACCTTGCCTTGTAGCCCATTTCATAGTACAGGAACTTTTGTGCCGTCGCAAGCTCTTCCTAAGAGGGGGAGAGAGAGCACACAACCTGAGCTCTAAGGGTAACAGCAAATATTTACATTCTGAATTTCCCCTTTGCTGGAATGTTTTATTGGCTCCTTTCACTTAATTATAATTGCTGGTCCTTAGAGGAATATCAGCAGTTGATGACCAAAAAGTGCTTAAAGGTGAACAAGGTAATTAAGATTAGGCAGCATTTCATGCTTCAGCTAGATCACTGGTTTGGTTGTACAAGTGTTGATTATCAAGCGATAATTACCCCGGGAGACGTGCAAGGTAAAGAATTTTTAGGGATGTTTCATGCCCTTAATCCATACAGGCAACTCGCAGCGATGTCAGCAAGCCTTGCACTTGCAGACAAAGGGGCCACGAGATGGCCTTTACCTTTTGGTACAGTGAATGCCTTAAGTGAGATGTTTAATGCATTTAGTTTTTTTAGGCTTATGGCACGTGCTGATCACTCTCTTCAGGCAGCAAGCTAATGATGGAGCCTGTAATTTGGAAATGGCAAGCTCCTTCCTTCCTTCCTTCCTTCTTTCCTTCCTTCTTTCCTTCCTTCCTTCCTTCCTTCCTTCCTTCCTTCCTTCCTTCCTTCCTTCCTTCCTTCCCTCCCTCCCTCCCTCCCTCCCTCTCTCCTTTACTTCCTCTACTAGAGGTTCCCAATGTTTACAAACAAAACAATTATTTCAATAAATTGCATTAAAATTTTAATCAATTTTTTATTCAAATAAAAAAGTTAAGTGACAGGGCTCTCCAACCTTTCCAGCTTTGCATACCGGGTGGGGATGGTTCTGTGCAAGCAGTGGGTCTGGCTGCAAAATGCGCGAAACTCCATTTGTGCAAGCGGCGGGAGCACACACACACACACCCCGCTCGTGTAAAGGGAGCTTCCTGCGCAAGTGCCCGCCACTCGCGCAAATGGAGCTGCTGCCATCGTGTGCTTGTCCGCCGCTTGCCTGGCCCGTTTCTGAACAGGCCGCAGCCTGGGACTGAGCCCCAGCCCTGGGATTGGGGAGCCCCCCCCCCGACTTAAAAGATGACTTCGAAAGCAATTAAAATGTAACAAGCAAAACAAATTAGATTAAAATCAACAGTCTGACTCAGTGAGCTTGTACAAAAAGGTCTGGCGTAACAGCCTTCCTAAAAGCTAATGAAAAGCTCAGGCCCCTTCGCCACGCAGGGAATGTGTTCCAAGGAAGCTAAGTGACAAAAGAGTTGGCTCGATTCTGGCTGACAGCCAGATGAGCTCATGGCAACTGTAGGTGAACCTCCTCGATGATCTCAGTAAGCAGAGAGGGTCATTTGAAGAAAGGCCGCCCCCCCTTTTTTATCATTGTCTGCTTTATGCTGCCTTTTATGCTCAAAATCCTGCACTTGAAAACAGGCACCTCTACCTGAAAGCAGCTATCCAGCTGTGAGGAAGGAGCCCTCAGCACAGCATGCAGGCTAGGTAAGGCTGCATCTTTTATTTTCAAAAGGCTGGGAATAAGACCCAAGAACTCCTTTTCAAATAGTGAGGGTAAACAAAAAACCAAAAAAAAGTACTTTGCAACCCCAGTTATCTCTCTCGTGCTGAAGCCAGCATGCATATTGCTGCCTGTCTGAAGGGCTTCTCAACAAACCCTCAATGCTACATTTGTAGATGTTTGTTTAGGAGAACTATAGGTGTGTGCATTTGGAGGGGGGGGGAGAAATACTTGGCCTGTAACTTCTGTGCACTCATTTCCTTACTTTAATGGTATCTACACAGGGCTTTGTTTTTTCTACAGATACATACCGTGGTGGGAAGAGAGTTCCTGTAAGGAATGGGAGGGGGGTTCCTCCCATTTCTCAAAATAAGACTCTGTGGTAGAGCTGAGTTGGGAGATTGGCATAGTTCACACATAACTTTGTCAGTATTTCTTAACCATCACTGGCCACCCATGCAATAGCAGGGTCTGATCTGTACATTACAGCAAGAAGAATTGGATCGGGGTTCAATATTCACATTAAGAACTGCTAACCCAAGTTCCAAGTCAAAAAACAAAACAAAACCTGTTAACCCAAGTCGAGACTAGTGATACATATGGACAGTCCCTTTGATGGAGCCCACGGCATTCAGTGAACTCTATATGACTGAGTGGGGGTTTTTTTTTGCAAATGAGCCTCCTTACTTTGCCCAGAAACGTGAACCATCATGCAGCCCTTGGTTACTGAGAACATTATTCAAATTTTCCACCAAAGTCAAATAAAACTCCTTGGAAACATTCTCATAAGCTTCCTGATTATGAAATCAGGAGCCTCTTCATACCTTCTTCTTCTGTTCACTCCATTTCAGTTTCTTGCCCATTATCTCAATGATTCTTGGTAATGCTTCATCGGCAGCTTGGACATTCAGAAAAGCCAAACGAGTGCGACGAGCAATCATGTCCACTGCAGTGCAAGCGTATTCACCGATGGCATACTCGATCTAAAATGTTTGAAAAAGAATAACCGCTTCAGTCTGAGAAATTTACACAAAAGGAATGAAATGCAACGTTCACCTGATAGCAATCCATGTTGGAATTGTCTACCACCATTTTTACTCTAGAACATCTTTATCTAGGCTACTTAACTCAACTTTTCACCAGTTACAAGAGGCCTCTCTCCCCATTCATTCCTTTGGATTACAACCGTGATGTACCTGGAATTACAGTTGAGCAAATATGCATGTTTGGGGGAGAAGGTAACCTCACATGTAAATATCTAAACCAGCGGCCCCCAATCTTTCCAGCTTTGCAGAATGCCGGTGGCGGGGGGGGGGAGAGGGAATGGTTCCATGTGAGCGGTGGGGGAGTGCGTGCGCAGCTCTATTTGCACAAGCAGGAGGCACACACTGCTTGCACAAATGGAGCTTCGCACCCACACCCTCTCACCCAGCGCTCGTGCAAGTGGAGATGCATGTGCATGCATGCACTTGCCCATTGCTCGCGAGGCCTGATTTTGAACGGGACCACAGCCTGGTACTGGACTGTGGCCTAGGGGTTGGGGACCCCTGATCTAAACTTCTCCAATCTTTTACCTTCTCCCAAAGAAGCTTCTTGGATGAGAAGCGAAACGTTTTCAAAGAAAAAAAACCCAAGAAAGTCCAGTTGCCTTTTGGAAAAACATCCACTGTTACAGCATTGACATTTGGGTATCCTACTGATTCCATAATAATAATAATAATAATAATAATAATAATAATAATAATAATAATAATAATAGTAGTAGTAGTAGTAGTAGTAGTAGTAGTAGTAGTAGTAGTAGTAAAGTTGGAAGGGACCTTGGAGGTCATCTAGTCCAAGCCCCTGCTCAGGTAGGAAACCCTATACTATTTCGGACAAATGGCTGTCCAGTCTCTTCTTAAAAACTTCCAGTGTTGGAGCATTCACTGCTTCTGGAGGCAGGTTGTTCCACTGGTTAATTGTTCTAACTGTCAGGAAGTTTCTCCTTAGTTCTAGGTTGCTTCTCTCCTTGATTAGTTTCCATCCATTGCTTCTTGTCCTGCCCTCAGGCGCCTTGGAGAATAGCTTGACTCCCTCTTCTTTGTGGCAGCCCCTGAGATATTGGAACACCGCTATCATGTCCCCCCTCGTCCTTCTCTTCATTAAGCTAGACCTACCCAATTCCTTCCTCTAGATCTTTTTTTTGTTCCCCATTCTTCCCATGATTCTGGTGAGATTGACTGATTTCCTACTGGTCATTGCATGTATACCTTTCAGGTGTACTCTGTCATGACAGAGTTAAAATATTTCAGAATTTGCTATTAATGTAAGAATAAAACAAGCCTTTTTTTCCTGGCTGATTAGATGAGGTAAATGAAGCTTCCGATTTTATATGGCAAGAAACAAACAGAACCTTCAACACCAAAAGCAAGAATGCAAGAAAGGAGGAGGAAGAGAAACAGTAACACAAGACATTTCGTACCTCTGACTCAATATACGGAAACTCGGAGACAAGACGTTTCCCAACGATAGGCCACCTCTTCCCAGTTACCTGGGCTACTTTTGCCACATCAAAAGCCTTGTCCCCAAATGTATTTGCAAGATGTTGAGCAACCTGTAGAATTGAGAAGAGGTTAAGAGACTGATGCCTTTTGGAAGAGAACTCCATCTTGTTAGGAGTCACCCTTGAAAGCTCTCCCCTTGTCTGTGATTCAACAGCCAACCCAAGATGGTATCAAAGGCAAAAAGCCAACAAGTCAAGAATAAGACTAGTCTATGAATAATTAAAAATTTAAAAAGTAGTCGTTAACATGGTTTGTAGATAATCCCTAACCCTTTGAACACTTAAAAAAAATCCCTTCTTCCAATAAACTAAGATCTGTACTGAGCTGTTAAGGCAACATATGAAAACAATTGATTAAGGTAATCTATTGCCATTACCTTTTCATCAAGTGTTTGTTTTGTCCTCTCCTTGGCCTTCTACAATGGTTCTTCTCAATCACCATTTCTCTTTATTCCACTTCTTCCACTTCTCTTTTGATTGCTTTGCTGTCCTCAGAGCACTCACCAAGTAGTGAGCTGACTCACAACTTGGGGCTTTACTCACTACTCCCTTTGGTCTCCATTTATGTCACGGTCCGCAATCGTATTTATAGAAACCGCCTCCACTCATTTTGGGCGAATTATTCCCCTGATTCTATTTCATACTATTCAAGGGGATGGAACTTCAGAGACAAGAAAGTTCCATTCCATTCATACCTGTCAGCAAGGAATTCTGTAGATTTAAGTGGTTCTACTAACTAGCCTAAGTAAACCACAAACTCACCTCATTTTCAAGTCCATAATCTTGAACCAGGCGGATATAAAGGGTAGGGCTCCAACCCTCTGCACCCTGCAAGAGCAGTCCTACAGTTCTACAGGAACCAGCCTGAAGGTTATGAGTTTTTACTGCAACATCAATGGTATCCTGGGCCATTGAGCGATAGGTGGTCCACTTCCCACCTGGGAGTATCAACAAATACAGATAGTGTATAAAAATTGATCCCTTTAAGCCTTTATTTAAAAACACACCAACTAAAGCTCTTAGAATGAAATAGTTCTATTGTATAGGAAGACAGACACCTGCAATCCTAACACAACACTGCACTTATTGGAAAAAAGCTGATGGGATCTGTCATCCACGTTATTTAGAGGGCATCAGTTTTCCAACTCTTCTTCTAATACAGACATGTCAAACACAAGGCCCGGGGGCCGGATGTGGCCCGCGAAGTGGCTTCATGTGGTCCGCGAAGCCATCCTGGAAACAGTGAGGGAATGGCCCCCGCTGCCTTGGCCCTGGCCGTCCGGGAGCCAATGTACAATTTTGTGGTGGCCATCTATGCTGAAACGCATTCAGTCTTAGCTCCACAAGGCCATCTAGAAACAGCGAAGAACCACCCCGCCGCATCGGCCCGGCCCCCTGGGTGCATGCTGGGGAGGTGTCACCCTTTGTGAGGAATGAAGAAATGCACCATGCCTTGGTGCTTGCCCCGGTCCCAACCCCTTCTGCCAGAGACCCTCAGATCTGTCCCACTTCTGCCCAGGCCCCCACAGGCACCCTTGACGTGAACGATATAGAGCTGGCCATGTCCACCCAGTAGGCTGCACCCACCCTGGCCACACACCCCCGCCCCCCCCCCGAGGGCAATCGCAATGCTGATGTGGCCCTCAATGAAATTGAGTTTGACACCCCTGTTCTAATATTTCAGAACTGAGAACCACAGCATATGTGTCTGACCAGTTTCCTTCATATGACTAAGAAATAATTCCAACAAGAAAGAAAAGAATTAGAAGCAACATCCTAGTACCTGCGATAGTCACAAGGCCGCTGTCACTAACATGCACCACGTGATTTCGAGATATGGACTGAGTGTCTTTAGAATTGGGATCCGTCACAAGGGGACGAATCCCACTCCATGCTGCCAGAACATCTCCTCTCCTCACTGTAATTGAAAACAAAATAAGAAAATTTTAAAAAAGAAGTCAGAAATACCATCTGAGGAAAGGATTTTGAAATATACTGTAATATGATTTAAATGCTGCTAGGTTAGAAAGTAATCACAGCTTTTAAAATGTCGTCTTGGGGAAAGAATACTGTTAGTTCCAACGAATTTTAATGAGAAAAGGCAAAGTGAAAGAGAGATACAAACTCAGTACAAGTTCCATCTTTTGATTCAATTAAACAAATAATGAAGCAGAAGACAAAAATATAGGAGTTTGGTAATAAAGTTAAAAAATAGGTTTTCTGAGGAAAAAAAAGAGGTGCCAGTGAGGTAACTTGGAAGTCTGGCCCAAGAAAAGCAAAAATCACGATGTCCTAAATCTCAAAATCTGGCAACTTCAATATTGGCATACTTAATAAGATTTTCCACAATTTTTTACAACAGGTATTTTTTTTATGATTCAACCTTGACTCACCCCTGGCTAAGCAATTAATTATATATTTAGCTTTCCTCTATTGTTTAGTAATTACACATACAGCTTACTTTTGCCAAACTTCTCATTCACATAGCTCTATCAATGAAGATTTGGACATTATGTTTACAAATAGTTCTTGATACATTTTTTTAGGATCTTCTACCTAATTCAGAGCTTTAGAATTCCCCTTATTGTTTTGAGTTTATTTCCTCATTGTTTGGGACAAATATCATCTATACAAGATCACTAACTATTATCAGGAACTCTTAAATCAATATTCCCAAAGCTTCCTCACAATTTGTATTTAAATAATTCAAAGAACTAACTACATTGCATGGCATAATTTAATAGTTGCTAACTTAAGAAAACACCATTGTAAATTCTGAATTTGTGAAAATGGACTTCAACTCATTGTCAACATGTATAAACAAAGCATTTTAGCCTCCAGGGAAAAATCAAGTTAACCAGTGAATTCATAAATCTTACTATGTGGAAAATACAATCTGCCTGGCCAGGAACTTTATAGGATGATTTTTATGAACTAGTCTGGAATTGTTCATTATTCTATTTGGCCAAAACCTCAGGAAAGAGTACTGTCATCATTCTCTGCGGAAAGAGGCAGAATTTGTCAGGCACACTTTGCAGTTCAGAAAGGTCAAAAAATTTGAAATTGCTGTTTTTACTCTTTAAATTCTCTTCCTTGGATTTTTTTTTTTAAGGACTAAAGTTATCTGGCTTCCTGTAGACCACCTCAAGGGGTCACAGAGATAACACTAGAGCAGTTTATTTTCACATGTCACTGAGTCAAAAAGAACGAAAAGCTCATCCATCATTTTTCTCTGTAGTTTACTTCTTCTAGATTGTTTCTAGTTACTAATACTTCAGAGAAACATAAAAAAAGTACTAATGTGTTTTTCTTAGGATGGGGAAAGAAATGTAGCATCCAAATTGAAGAGGAAAGCGTAAGAATATTAAACAAGGACCCACCCAAATTTTCCACACAAAGAGCCAGAACGAAAAAATATATTTTGTTTTGTTTTCTTTTTGAATTTATTTTCTATTATGTATAATTCTCTAGTTGGGCTTTCATCATTTTTCCCTTTGTCCTATGAACAAATTCAAAGTTGATAGCAAAAAGAAAAAGTCTGAAAAATAGCAAGATGCTTTTAATGAGTTTTTTTTCCCCAGTTCTGTTTGAAGCCATTAATGTTAGAGAAAATTATGAAGGTCTGTATTAAAAAAAAAAAAAGGAATGTGAACTTGGATACAGGAAATCCCTGCTGTCCCAGATCTACTGTGGTTGAATCCTTACACTCACTTTAAAGCAACTAGTGCAATTTCTGTTGCTGCCTGTGCATAGATGGTTTTTGAGTGGCAAGCTGAGGGCCACAATGTCCTGGGGGGGGGGGGGAGACGTAAACAAAATATTATTGCAAATTGAATAAAATCTTGCTTAGTCAAGGACTTTTGCAATTTCAGGAAAGGCTATGGGAAATGCCGTTGGACTGTGACCACCAATTTTGTATTTCTTGTTTAAAAAAAAAACAGGCTCATGTGCTTCTTCCTCCACTTGCGATTTTGGGTAGACAATGGCAAATTATGATTTCCACAACCAAGAAAAGGAAGAAGAAAAGTTGAATACACATAAGAAAAACAAAAGAAAGAAACATGCAGCTACAACTGCCGTTGCTTTCTAAGACCCTCTCATAGCAAATAAAAAGCAAGTATCCAGTTGTTTTTTCTTTTCTCCTTTCAAAAAACTGGCCTGTGTGATTAACATATTTATACACTCTTCAAAACATATGCAATTCTCCCATACAGCTGAGCATGAGGTCAATCAACAGTATGCAAGTTCTTTCTTTGTCCCAACCCAGAATGTGATCAATCTCTGTGTTTCATGCCCTTCAATTTTATGTGGAACAGTATAAACTTGACTGCAGAAGCCTAATACCGCAACATTAAAAATGGACTATACCTTGATCCAATTATTATTGACATCTCTAGAATATGACCATGACAATATTATACTTCATGGCGAAAACAAATTCATCTCCCTTTCCTGCTTCCTATTGAGTTACTAATCCATTGAATGAATAAACTCAGCGGCCCCCAACCTTTTGGGCACCAGGGACCGGTTCCGTGGAGAGAGGTTTTTCCGTGGACAGGAGGGGGCGTGGTTTTGTGTGCTGCCTGGATCCCGCGGATGGGGCTTCGCTTGTTTGTGCGGCCTGCTTTCTGGCATGCCGTGGTCAGGTTGCTGGTCCATGGACCGGCGGTTGGCAACCCCTGAATTACCTCTCACCTCACATAAGCATTCACGTAATTCTTTAAAAGTAAAACGAATACATAAACACACGAGGCTGTTTCTCTCTTAGCTCTCTATCATCCGTGTACCGCCTATTCCCCGTAAATAAAATGTAGGTATGGAAGTCTAAATTACCGTTGTGATCTTCCTTCAGTGGACTAAAAACTCTTACAGAGGCTTTTGTGTGTGAGTGTGCATGTGGGGAGGATTGTTTTAAGGACAATACTTTCACAAGGGTGTTAACAGAAAAATCAATAATGCCTTGTAAAAATATCTCGAAAGAACAGAAATCTGAGAAATCAATGTTGTTCTGCCAGCGTGTTTAGGCCACCAAAATGAAGTGCTAATCACTGAAATAAGATACCATATTACATTTATAAATTAATGAAACTAGAAAAAGCAGCATGTGTGACACCATAATTAAACAGCTGGAACACATCCAAGCCTGTGTAAGTTGATAACCCTGCCACTGTCTTTGGCAGCAAAAAGGCAGGTCTGCCGTGAGTTGATACGGCCAGCACAATTGCTAATTCTCTAACAGACAATCTATAAACACGACTAATTACACACGAGGAAAACAGCGCACAGCTCAGGTTGGTTACTTTCAAAAGCATTAAAATGCTCAAGAAAACTACTTTTGCAGAACTGCCTTGTAAATAATCAAACAAACAAACAAATGCTGCCCTAATCAATTCTCCTAGCTGTAGCCTAGCAGAACCAGCCACCTTGCCTGACAATCCTCAGCTCTTTTATTAATTTTTGCAAGAAAGGCTCTAATGATAATGGGTTTCTTCCCCTCCTCCTCCTCCTGTAGACCATTTTCCTTTAATGGCTACAACAATAACAGAACTATCAATTATCCATTTCAAGGAAGAACAAACAAGCAATCTAGAACGTTCAGTCTTTTTTTATTAAAAAAAAAAAAGATTACGATTATGAGTATAAGTCTACAAAGGGCAGGTCAGAGTCTGAATCTTTTTAGAGAATCGCTTTAAAGAAGCTGGATAATTAAGGAACTTGGTAATGAAATCTGTTCAGGTCTCCCAGTTATCAAATCTCATTTCTGGAGGGACAAATCGCTAGAAAATCATTTAGGGTGCATCTCTACTTAAATAAACAAACGACAAAGTTCAATTTGTTTTCTATCAGTTATATAATTCAGGGAGTGAAGGAGAAAGAATGTATTTTATTAAAAAATTACTTGAGAACACAGCAGAACGGTGTGTGTGTTCCTTAAACTCAGCCAATTTTTTAAAAAATGAAACAATGGCAGGTGTTTAAGGAATGTGATGGGACAACATTTTAAAAAGTTAATGGGGACTAACCTTAATTTACATCTTAATTCAATTAAAATTAGGTTTTGCCACATTGAAAATTAAAGGCTTTTTGAGAGTCACATGCAACACTAGGTTCTTCAAGTTGTGTCATCTTGATTTAGAATAAACAGGACATAACAGAAAGCCAGTGCTGTAAATCCTGACTCTTAATAGATTGGCTATACAAGAAAAGTGAGTTGGTGCGCGCAGCAATTATTAAATGTGGTAGCAGGGCTGTGCTGCGGAGTTTAGATATGAAAAATCAGGATTCAGACTCATAAACAAAGCCGTTTACACTTCACAGAAGTGCTGATAGCACAGATATTCCCTGCAGAAGATCCTAATTGATAAGGGAAGGTATCCCCATTGATACTATGGAAGCATCATAAATAAAGAGAAGGGCAGAACTTCTGCCAGTGTGTGCATGTGTTTCTGTGCGTGTAACTGGTACCTCCTATTAGTAGAACTCATTTAACACTGGGGAGTTCCAAAGAAAGTCTTATCTTCCAACTTACTGATGGAAGTAAGGGGGGGGGGGAGAAACTGGCTTACGTTACAGGTGAAGGATCAAAATATATAATTTCTTCTAAGCCAAAGGATGCGTTCATAATGCATAGGAACTTCTAAAAGTATGTTTTTTAATATGAGTTACATGTAAAATGAAGCACAATTAGTACAGTTACTCTTCCAAGTATATATTTTGATCCTGTCTGTTGCATAAAAAATTACAATTATGATAATAAAAAAAACCTCTGGGAGGCAGGGATCATGTGCTCTTGTGATGTCAAGTTGTATATTTCTGCCTTAAAGAGAAGAATAAAATTACATTTTAATGTTACTGAAAATTACCTTCAACATCACAGCTAAGATAGTTGCGTACTTCTGTCAAAATGAAGTTGATATCTTCTTCTGTAGGTATCGGGTGATGGGTAACTTCAGTTGCAGTATCAGTAGTGCCAGCAATAGTCATCTTTTGCCATGGCAGGAAGAAAATCACTCGTCCATCACTAGTGGATGGGTCAAGAAGTCCCATATTATCAGGGCTGGAAGAAGCCAACAAAAATATTACTTTTTTTTTCTTCCCAGGTTCTTTGAAAATGTTCCTTTGTAAAAGCTTCATTAAAGCAAAATAGCAATGAGTAGTACCTTATTAAAAAGTGTACCAGAGACATTGGAAGAGTATAGGTCAGGGGTAGGCAACCTTGGCTCTTTTATGACTCGTGGACTTCAACTCCCAGAATTCCTGAGCAAGCCATGCTGAGGGGAAAGGGAGAGGTTTCCATGCTGACTCAGGAATTCTGGGAGTTGAAGTCCACGAGTCATAAAAGAGCCAACGTTGCCTACCCCTGCTATAGGCAATATTGCAATCATGGATTTGGATCTAATATTATGTTGACAGGTGTTTCATGCCCAAATTGCAGCAGATCTGGGTGCAAGTGTGACCGTCACTTGCAACAAGGGAGCAACAAGAACACCTGCGACACAAGCTGAAGAACACCTGTAACTCATGGATGTAGCTCACAAACTGATTGTTCCTCAAGGTTCAGAGCCTGCTGACACATCATAGATATACACATGCATTCATCCACTATATCTCTTCAGACTGTACTTGGGAGTTAGTGTCGTGGTACAAGACACAAGTATTCACAAAATTTTCAAGAACAAAATTTCAGGCAAGTATCCGTAGTCTTCCGCTTTAACAGTAGATGGATGGCAATTTCTCTTTCTCCAAATTATTAAAATCCTTCTTGATCACACAAGGCCTTAAGACAAAAACCAGGGGTGAGATGATGATGATGATGATGAGTAATCTGCAGTTAGATTCACAATCTAACACTGGTGAAAACTTAATAATTCAAGTCCTAATTAAGGACCTAAGAATTATTAAGATAGTGCCTAAGGATATATAGGCAGTTCCAAAATCCAAAATTTGAATTTAGATATTGCTCCAAGGGTTCCAGTCATGATTGATATAACAGTGGATTTCCTTTTCCATATAATTATTATTATTTACTGTTGTTATTCTTTGCTCTGGGGACAAGATTAAGGGAAATGAACACTTTCTCAAGTAAAATACTCAGAGAATTAGATGAACGGAAATGTATAAATAATATATATTGAAGGTGCACATTAATTGGAAGGAACGCCATTTGGGGCCAGTTATATGTGAGAAATTAATTGGTTTGCCTTCTGTGAAAGAGGTATTTAGTAGTAGCATCAAATGGGGAATCAAATGATTAATTCATGATCTAAACTATTTCACTCTGGTTCTGATCTTGGCCAAATCATTTGTTTTCCATTTTCCTTAATACTTTGTGACAGAGGCCAGCCAAGTGTTTTGAGAAAGGTACCAGCAGGTTAAGAGAGCATCCCACTGTTTATTCCTATAATGTTTCTAACAGAAGTAAGGAACGTAAACACACACGCACACTTATGAACTATAATTGCACCAATGAGAAAGAAGGTTGCTATGCCACATTCTCTTTCCTAACTATTAGCAAGGTGGATATGTGCTCATGTCCTAGTAATAGCAATAAGCACTTAGACTTATATACAGTTTCATATCACTTCTCGGCCTTTTGGCTAAGATCAAGTGTAGTATATCCAGTTTCATAGTTTTTTTTACAACTCTCTCTAAGCAGTTTACAGACTCAGCATATGGCCCCCAACAATCTGGGTCCTCATTTTACCAACCTCGGAAGGATGGAAGGCAAGTAGAACATGCTTACCCTCCATCCGGGCAGCCTATTTCCATACACAGTGAGGTCCGCTGCAAATGGTTCCTACTTATACTGTTCCTTCAACAAGGCATTACAATGGAAGCAGTTGAGTTTCTATTACTGGATCCAAAGGTTCTCCATTTCCATGAGAAAGGCATAATTTGGGTGGCTAATGGCTAATATCTTTCTCCATGCTTCTTAAGGAGAAGGGGCAGTGGTGGGATTCAAATATGTGAATAACCGGTTCTCTGTGTAGATGCCACTTCCGGAAGTCCATTTTGGGCCTGGGCAACAAAAAATTAGCTATCGGTTCTGCCGAAGTGGTGCAAACCGGCTGAATCCCACCACTGAGAAGGGGGTTTTAAAACAAAAAGAACCACCTGAGTTACATGGATTACAGCCTTCAATAGCCATTGCTTACTGCACAGAACTAGCTCTACTGTGATGTAAAGCATTAGTTCAGCCATGATGGTACTAATACAATTTTTAAAGTAGCAATATTGTGGAATCCTTTGTGTTTTCTGAGTTTGGTTGTTTTCTTGTAGACGTTTCATTACTCAACTAACTAACGTCATCAGTGCTAGAAGGGATTGGGGTTATACTAAAATCACTTGTATACATTATATACAATGGGGGGGATACTGTATATCTGCCTCTATGAGGGAGATGGGCAGTTCCTTAATATGACAGATAAATATATACATCAATAAACAACATGATTAAAATATTAGAAATATAAAAATACAGAAAGATTATATTATTCTTATTCACAGATCCAAATAGAAATTCCATTTGCTATTATAGATAATTGTATTTTTTTTTTCCTGCACAGGTCTGGGTAACAGAAAAATATGCATGAGATGCTCCTCAGAGAGATAATGACAATTATATACACTCGAAGTCTAACTTCTACACTAAGTCTCTGAGATGATATTTATATATAGCTTAAGGATACATTTGGAGAAGAACTGCTTAAAAAGTAGGTGTCAACATGGACTTGTGCAAGGTAAACTATGGCTGATAAGTAATTACTTTTCAAAATGAAATCACTATTGATTTAAAGAAGCCAGGAAACTAAGAAATTTAATATACAGACTCAAACTATTTAAAAAAATATTTTTTTTGACAAGTTTCAAAATGAGGTTTCTAAATTGCCTTAAAAGAATCTGAACTGTAGACTGAGTACGTTTTTGAAAAGGCTGCTGGGAGATAATTTTCATTTGTTTTGACTGCCACCGATTTAGCTAGAGGAGCTAGAACCAGAGAGAAGGGCTAACTTTCATCTATTACGGGCCTTGCTCGCTCCCACTATATTTCGAATAACTACCAGGGTTCGGCTGCCAAATAGATTGATTCTAAAATGTAACATGGATGAAATTCCAGATGACAATAATAATATCCACCATTCACCATATGATAATATTTACCATTTATTCACTGCTTCAGAGGAATCAAAAAGCTTGACGTACAACAGGGAAGAGGAGCCACTGCCCATCTCTGTACTTCTGAACTACGATTCCAGCCACCAGTATTACTGGTCATGCTGGTTGAGGCTACTGGGGCTAATAGTTCAGCATCTGGAGAACTGTTAGCTCTTTATCCTTTGTATCTCTGTTATCCATACTTCTTTTTAGCATTTCAAGTTAATGACTGATTAGGGAACTGAACGCATAGCTTAGGCTCTGATTGCAGCAATTGACTCTTTGGATCAAGTGCCTGTTTTTCCATTTTCTGACAGGCAGAATGACAGTCAATCTAAAAGCAACATCCACTGGATTGAGGTTTAAAATTATTAAGAGATTACATGCTAGTATCGCTGGGGTGAGAAAAAGCCACGCAGTCTCTGCTTAAGTGAAAACATGCATTGGAAGAATAAATTTAATGAGTGCAGAGAGAACACGGGGACTATTAATGAAGAATATAAAAATTTAAAAACCCAATGGGAGATGCTTGCAGTGTATTAACATTAAATTAATTAAATCAAAGGTACGTTTACACATAAAATGCCTTTAAAACTATTTATCATTTCCCCCAGATGATGTCAAAGTACTTTTCCAAAGAGATGAGTAACTGTTAATGGCATGACGTGCATTTTCTTTAACAAGACTCAGACCGACACCAGAGGAAAGAACCGACTGCTAAATTAATACATACATTTACATTTCAGCATCACATATTTATTTATTATACAGGGACATTCCTTGATTTATCAATCTCTAGGATGAAATCAGTAGTCTTAGAATGCCGTATCTAGGGAACAATTGCTTTTGAAAGAAATCACAAATATTGGATGACGCTGAGAATAGGCCAAAGATGGAGGTAGACAATGAGTATATGATAAATAAGGAAGCCAACATGTCTCACTTATGTACAGACACCCTCTTGATTTTTATCTAAAACTGGGAGGTAAAGACTAGCATTAGGCATCTCCAACCTCTTTCTTGATAAAACAGACCAGCAACTTTGTTTTTTAATATACTATACAGGCAGTGGTGGGATTCAGCCAGTTCACACCACTTCAGCAGAACCAGTAGCTGATTTTTTTGTTGCTCAGGCCCAGAATGGACTACTGGAAGCGGCATCCACACAGAGAACCGGTTGCTCACATATTTGAATCCCACACTGGTAGTCTTCAACTTACAATCATTTGTTTAGTGACCCTCAAAGTTACAACAGCACTGAAAAAAGTGACTTATGACCGTTTTTCACATTTATGATGGTCGCAGCAACCCGCCATGGGGGCATGTGATCAAAATTCAAATGCTTGGCAACTGGTTCATATTTGACAGTGGCAATGTCCCAGGGTCATGTGATCACCTTTTGCAACCTTCTGACAATGGGGAAGCCAGACTTAACAAGCAGTGATCTGATTAACAGCTGTGGCAAGAAAGGTCGTAAAATGCGGGCAATTTTGGCTTCAATTATGGTCATTAAGTCAAGAACTACCTGTAGTCCTTTCGCCCATTTTACACAGAACGGTGGCAATTCTTTTTTTTTTTTTTTTTGGGTGGATGATGCTGCAGTTGCTGAAGGACCCATGCAAGTAAGAAAAGCCATGCTTTACTAATCCTACAGTTCCCCATTCTGAATTTTTATATGATTGAATCTATAAACTGGTTTATAGCAAGTTTCCTTTACCAAGAAGGCAAATTCTATTAGAACTGAAGCTGGAAACCAAATCCTGGGCTGTATGACAAAATAAAGTAGATGCTGCACTTGGGCAAAGCAGAATTTATTCCAGTCACATTAAATAGGCAGCTCTACAGAAAAACTCCCAATACATTAATAAGCCCTAGGTTCAAAGGAATTTGGCATATTTATTTATCAACCTAGAACATATTTCAACCGTTTCCCAGTTGTCCGGCACAAAAAAAGGGTTTGTGATGTTAGTTAAGCCATGACATATATCATTTATGCAGGGAAGGGCAGTGAAGAGCGGGACAATAGTCCTGCTACTTCTGCCTGGCCAAGGCTTGGCACAGCCTCTTCAGCAAGCAGAACATTTGGGATTTTCATTTTCTCATTCAGTATTCCAACATATGGTGAGGAAACACTGCCCTGCCACAAGCAGAAGGGCACATCTGAACGAAACTCCTTATTAGTGGTAATATTTAGCATTCATATAGTACAACTGAATGTACTGCGTGAATGCTAAGGGCTGCGGTAATTTTTTAGGCTATTTGTGTAAAACTGGTTAACTGTCTGCTACACTGGCTGAGCCAGCAACGACTTGCTGAAGATTTTATAGGGCTTTCTTATGGCCAATAACCTCTTTTGAATTACCTCACCAACCGGAGGGTAAAGAGAACGCAATGTGGGAGAGAACACAACTCCTTAGAGCCTTCGTTGTTTGAGACAAGAAGGAAAGTGGCACGGAGAAGATATTCCCATCTGTTAAGTCATCCCTCTATGAAAATTGTCCAGTTAGCATTCTTCCAAAGACATTTGTTGTCCAAATCATACAGATATGGAAAACTCTGGCTTTTGAGGGGGCTCCACTCTTCTTTCAAAACTCCAGCTGTCTCCTCCAGTTGCAGGGATATTTTAACACGGGGGCATTTTGAACAACCATTAAAAGACTAGTTAGCTCTCCTATATAACACCCGCCCCCCCGCCTTATAAAAGTGATGGATTATGCTTGACTCATTCAAAATAATTTTCCATACAGCAGGTAGGGTGGGGGCTTGAGGGGGGGGGGAAGAAATGAAGGCCTGAATTCAACATGGACCATTTAAGCCAGAAAACAATTTCTTCAGATTCCCCTGCCCCAACTCTCTTAGATTCACATCTTAAGATTGTTACAAATGGTCTGTGCTTTGAATACTGTTACCTGTAATAGCCGGGCATCACAATATGAACACCTGCACTTGGTTGACAGATGTTTGGTACTTCCTGCTCATCCATTTTCCGCACAGAATCTGTGAAAGGTCCTGTAGCATTGATAACACATTTGGCTTTGACATCAAATTCCTGCCCTGTGAAAGAAAACAGCATCAATCACATACTCCATTTGTTTCCCTCTTCACTGACTCTCTGGATTATTAATTTATCCATGAAGTTAATCTATTGTGAAGTGTGTGTGTATCGAGACACGCGCACTCAGACTCGTACCCGTGCAGGCAGAACCCAGCAGCTCGCCTTCCTGTGCAAAATTAGAACAGAGATGGCTTTTCAGCCGAGATTACGTTGACTCCCCAATCTTTAAAGACTGAAGATCAGACTCGTCGAACGAGGGAAAAGAAGTAGAAAAGAACGGTAGCAGCTTCCTCCTTTTTCGGCCCCATCATTTGGCTTTTATTTATCGATCTCTCTATTTAATGACATTCTTAAACCCTGAGATTTGTTAAACGGTACTATTGCTGAATGCACCACCACCACCACCCGGCATTTCAAACCGTCAGCTTTGCTTGACAGAAGGGCTTGGATGTAAAGCACAACTTAGCTTGCCAAAGCACTAGGATTTGAATGAAAGCCTGACAGAAGTTAAGGATGATTGGCGGTAATGACATGCCACTGCACTTTGGAAACATGCCTTTTTTGTCAGCTAAGCCATATTTACAAACTGCACTCTCCCCTTCACCCACCTTTCTGCACTTGGTTTGAGGAGGAAAGGATTCCCCCGTTTCTTTTAAGGCGGAGTAAAATGCCTTTCTGGGTAGCAGAGCTTCCTCCCACTACGCTCAAAGTACGGGCAGCTACTGAGGTGAAGGGCTACAGGGAGAATCTTGGCAGGCACCCAGCCCCAGAAAGGATAAAAAGGAAGGGGGTCTCTGAAAAACAGAAAGACACACACACACCCAGTACCTGCCAGAGCAAGCTACCTGGAGACAAGGGGCTTCATAAATGCCAGGGAGAGCCCAAAGGACATACCTGTTAGAACATCCCTGCACCTTGCTCCAGAAACCCGGCTCTTCCCGCTCTCTGGATCCGTCTTCTTCAGCAAGTGCACCACTTCAGTGTAATTGGCTATGGCAGCCCCATACCTGGCAGCAGTGAGGGCGATGGCAAGGTTCATTCGTGCATCATTGTGCTGTCCTGCAGCGGGGGAGTTGGGGGGGGCACAATCACAGAAGGACAGGAGTCACCTCCAGCCACTGATTTGTGGTATGGAAGGGTGTCAGAACCAATCTGTCACATCTGTCCCTGTCACACTGAATAGCCATGATGGCTGGTCAGATCTACCAAGAAATATCCAGAGAATCACAGACTCTCTGTAGTGTAGCATATTCTCCTTAAATAAATAATAATAAAAAAGGCAGCGGAAACTGCACAGACATTTGCGGAGGGCTGGGATTCTTGTCCAGTGGTGAACTTATATGCTACAGCTGAAATGCATGTATTTTGCATCCAGTCCAAAGCAAGGCACCACTTTCTGGTCCTGGAGAAGGCAGAGATGGCAATAATACAATCTCTTTGAAAGATGCATTTCTTGACAGCCCCACTGGTGTTAATTAAGCATCTCTATTAGCACATGTACAGCATGACATTAAAAAAAAAAAAGTTAACGATCTTTCGGAGATTCTATTGCTAAGCTTTACCTTCCTACATAACAGTCCTTTCGTGCACACTTGAAGTTCACAACTTGCAGCGTTTACAATAAGTATGCGGGTGAAGGGGAAAAAAATCTTTGGACATGTAAGGTAGGCACAAGGGGGGGAAAAAAACCCAAGGGTTAGGTAACAGATCACTTTAAACATATATATCATTAAAGATTTATTGCTGGATTTTCCTACTTGGAGGTAGAGGGAATCAACATGGAAGGGAGCACATGTGGGGGGGGGGAGAGGGAGGGAGAGAGCGGAAGGAAGAGTGGAGATGATTAATTACTTTAAAATAGTGGCATCACCTGAGACTTTCTATTTATTATTGCCACTGAAGTTAAAACCCTGTCTGTTGGCTGGGAGCAATTATTCCCCGTAGCAAGGGCCAAGCTCTATGTGCCCAGCATTATTAATTACCAAGGGCTAGCCTTCTGAAGGCAGGGTTCAGCGTGCCCAAATGTTGGGACCAGCCACATCAAGATAATACTGGTAAAGGGAGGAAGGGAGAGAATGGTAATGGATACTGTTGTTGATTTATGTAGCCGGCATACCAAGTGTTCAGTATAAATGATTTATGTAAAGTTCGCCCCTTTCCGATTCTGCTTCAGCAACACCCAGACGCTAAGCAAGTAATCCGTTTCAAAAAAAAACCAAAAGGGCAAAAATGTAGAAAAAGGATCAATGCCTCCCAGAATTCATCACCTCTCCTAACCTGTCTTTAAAACTTCTTCTTATGCCAACCTGCTGGTAGGAGAAGAAATGAACCTAAATGGGGACTGGGGGGGGGGGGGGGAGGAGAAGGAACTTCAGAGCAAATCTGTGTGAAAAACTGAGAACAAGAGCATGGGTGAAAACGTTCACTGTATTTAAATGCCTAATAAATGAATTAAAATGGGACAAACTGCATACTTAGAGGAAGATGACAAAGAACCTAAAAGAACTGCAAACTAAATAAAATGGAAGAAAATTTGGCTAGGCACACACACACACACACAGATACACAGGGGCACAAATGAGGTATCCCGAAGAAACTTGAAAATAGGCAAGCATTTTGTTCACGACTTTAAAAATATCTGACTAAAGTTCTCCGCTTGGGCATGTGCCCTCTGAACAGCAGTCTTTATAAAATCTAATCTTCGGTTTTCTAAAAGCAAAATTACACATTCACATCTACACCACATCCGCGAACATGGAGAGGGAATTCCAAGATTGGCGGAAGATGTTTCACGAAGAATAAATAACAGTATAGAAGTTCTAGGGATAGTTTCCTATTAAGGAAGTGTTAGCAAAAAAAAACTCCTTTCATTTAGAGGGAACGTGGTCTCTAAATCAAAAATGGATCCACAGGATAAAAAGACATCTGGAGTCCTTCCGTTTTAAGTGAGAACAAGGAAATAGTTATTATAAAAAGATACACCAGGAAGACAGAAATGGAAACTGATCCTAAAAAAAAGATTTATTTTCATTTTTATTTTCCTCCGGTCTTATTCTTTTGCCTTATGTAACGGGTTAGCTGTTCAGATAACTGTGGCATTTGAATCAGAGCTTAAAATAAGGAGCTCTTGCTACTCTTCTTCTTGTTACAAGAACTGTTTGTATAGTTGACATGGCAACTACAGAATGAAAAGGATAGTGGGTAGCCGTCCCTCACCAGATGCCGGGGACCATGTTTTTTTTTTCAGAATTCAAAGGCTGCCTTGGCTGGGAATTTTAGGAGTTGCAAGTCTAACTTGTGGACATTGTCAGGTAAAGGAAGACCAATACACAAAGTCTGGTGAAAGTGAAGAACTGGGCAAAATGGGGGAATTGCATATATTTACAGTAACCGTATTAAAATAATTCTTGTCAGTGCCAAATAGATACTGCAAACGTGGAACTAGACTCTTGAATTTATTTTGCAGGTTTAGATTTTATTTTTCCAGGAATCTGCTCGATTGGCCACAAAGGAATGGAAGGATTTTAATACTGGTAGTTCTCAACTTACAACAGTTCACTTAGTGACCACTGAAATTTACGAAGGCACTGAAAAAGGTGACTTACGACAGTTTTTCACCCTTAAGCAGCATCCCCAAGGTCACGTGCCCAAAATTCAGACACTTGGCAACTGACTCTTATTTATGACGGTTGCAGTGTCCCTGGGCCATGCGATCACCTTTTGCTACCTTCTTACAAGCTAAATCAATGGGGAAGCCTGTGTCACTAACTTAACAACTGCCGTCACTTAATAACTGTGACACAAAAATGTCACAAAATGGGACAAAACTTGCTTAAGAAATGTCTCACTTAGCAACAGAAATTTTGGGCTCAATTGTGGTAAGTCGAAGACTACCTGTATCAGATCCCAACAAAGCAACAAACAAATGCAGTTATTTGTCTTAGCCCCAGTGTAATAAATTTTTTATTATGGTAATACTGTATTCTTCTCAGGACACCTCTGGTTCAAAAAACAGCGTATCAAATTTCTCCAGATTTCTCATCTGGTCTGATGCAATCAAACGAACAATATTAAATGTGAGAGAGGAAACATCACTGGTCTTGGATTGTATGAAAGGGATCTTCCTACAATGAATTTGCCAAACAACAGTTAGTTCCAGGCATCCCTTGAACATGAAAGCCAGTTGGGTGACTTTGGGCCAGTTACTTTCTCTCAGCCAAACCCACCTTGCAAGATTATTGTTGTGAGTAAACTAGGAGGCAGAAGTATTATGTTCTCTTCCGTTGACTAAAATGTATAAAAAGGTGGAATAAAATAATAATAACAAAGACCAGATCCAGCCTAAACATCTCGCTGACTGTGCAACCTGTCATAATAATAGTAATAATAGAATGACTATGGCAAAAGAAAGCAAAGATAGTACCAATAGTAATAGTCATTGTAGATAGGATACAAATAGGATATACAAATAGAAAATATTGGTATAGGTATAGTTACACAAATAGAGTATACCAGTAGGATACCAATTTGGTACAATACAAATACCTAGGCATCCTTCAAGCTGATATTAAGTTGAGACTCTAGAAAGAGTACAGAGAAGAGCAAAAAAGATTATTAGGGGAGGCTAAATCATATAAGGAAAGGCTGCTGGAATTGGGTATGTCTAGTTTAACGAAGAGAAGGACGAGGGGAAACATGATAGCAGTGTTCCAATATCTCAGGGGCTGCCACAAAGAAGAGGGAGTCAAGCTATTCTCCAAGGCGCCTGAAGGCAGGACNTTATTATTATTATTATTATTATTATTATTATTATTATTATTATTATTATTATTATTATTATTACATTGATGTTAAGAAAGATTAGAACTGAATGCATCATGAGAGTGAAAAAAAATTACCATCTAAATTCAGTGGAGGAAACACCGTCAAGGCAGTTAAAATCTGGGAAATGCAGTCATTACATACATAATTGGAATACTGGACTGGACTCAGACAGAACTAAAAGCCCTGGATAGGAAGACCAAGTGAATAATGACAGTGAATCATGGCCTTCATCCATGCAACAATGCTGACAGACTCTGCTGACTTAGGAAAATAGAGGGATGTGGAATATTGCAAGTAAACACCAGACAGTTAAAGAAGAAAAAGAGGCAATGGGAGAATATCTAAAGGACAGTGAAAAAGGTGCACTGAAGCTAGTACACCATGAAGGTTTACTGACTACTGGAGACACCAAGCTGGTCTGTAAGAAAGACCAAATGAAGAACAGAAAAGAGACGTGGCAAGGCAAAGTATTACATAACCTGCACATTAAAAAAAAAAAGTCAAATAACAACAAGACCTGGAAATGGCTAAGAGCAGGAAAGTTGAAAATCTGTACAAATTATCATGTGACAGTAAAGAAAAATTGGTGGAAACACAGTTGAACAAGAGGCTGAGAAAGGAACTGAAATCAAGGCTGAAGGCGAAACAAATGAAAAAAATAATGCATCTGTGAAGTTACTCAAAATATAGCTCAAGTTGTGTGCCTTCCTCTTCTTTTTCATTCCTGTAACTAAATACAAACATCTACTGTATATACAAGCACATATACAGATAGTCCTCATTTAATGATCACAATTGGAACAAGCAACTCCGTCACACTAAGCAGCATGATTGCTTCGTGAATCATCACATGACGGCAATGGACTTATGACCTCATTTCCGCTGTGGTTAAGCAAGTCACCCGTGGTGGTTAAGCAAGACATCACGTGACCATGTCTTGCCAATTTGACTGCTGGATTCTCTATTGACTCTGCTTGTCAGAAGCCAGCTGGTGAAACACACAAATGGCGATCACATGACAACAGGATGCTGTGATGGTCATAAATGTCAACTGATTGAAATGTGCCCGAATCTTGTGATCCCAGGGACACTGCAATGGTCATAAGTGTGAAAAACAATCCACATCAATGTAACTTTGAATGGTCGCTAAACATGGCAATCATTAAGCAATGAATAATAGTATGTAGGCATTTCATCATAGTGGAGAAAAGGGAGTTTGTTAAAAATACTTGACGCTCATAACAATGCATTAGTTTCAGGGAAGGACCATCCTTT